ATATATGCTAAACAAACAAGTTAATAGTTTTGTTTTGTTTTTTGTGCAACACCCAGTTGTGCTCAGGGTTTATGTCTAGCTTTGTGCTCAGGGATCAGGGGTGGGTATGGGGGGGATAGGGTGCCATGGATTAAACCCAGGTTGACAAAGTGCAAGGCAAGTGTCCTGCCCACGTACTATCTCTCAGGCCCCTAATTTTCTTTTTTTTTCTTTTTTTCTTTTTTTGCTTTTTGGGTCACACCCAGCGATGCACAGGAGTTACTCCTGGCTCTGCACTCAGGAATTACCCCTGGAAGTGCTCAGGGGACCATATGGAATTCTGGGAATCAAACCCGGGTCAGCCACATGCAAGGCAAATGCCCTACCCGCTGTGCTATTGCTCCAGCCCCCCTAATTTTCTTAATAAATAAAAAGTTTTTACAAATAAACAGGAAAAAAGGAAATCTACTAGAAAATGAAGAACACAAAAAAGGAAGTCAAATAATTTATAAATAAATGATAATATTTTTAATCTCACTTAAAATACCAAGCATCTTATATATACATGCATACATTCATATATATGTATATATACATATGCATTCATGCATTCATTGGTTTGGGGGTCACCCCCAGCAATATTCAGGGGTTACTCCTGGCTCTGGTGTAATAACCAGAAATTATTCCTGGTGGTGCATGGGGGATTAGATGGGATGCTGGGGATTGAACCGGGGTTGGTCATGTGCAAAGCTATGCCCTACCTGCTATATTATATCTCCGGCCCCACATCATAATATTTTTCTAAATAAAATAAGTAACATCACAGGTGCCATTGTTCACATATCAGAATGACAAAGATAATTGTAGGCAGGAAATGGAAATCAGTCACTTCCAACTGTTGTTAGCCAAAGCATGTATTGCAATTTCTCTGAAGGGCATTGTCAGTTACCAAAATTCACATTTTTGTATCCAACCTTATATGAATTTTCCAAAAGTTATAGGTGTATATGATTGCAAAGACCTAGGGATAAAGATTTTTATTGCATCATTATTTCCTGCAACAAAGTGATAAACTGTCTGGTAGAGAATTGATTAAGTTATGCAATGGCTCCAAAACTATTTCTATGAGTATTTCGAGCATTACCCATCCATCTGCTAAGTAAAGAGAATTTTGTCTTAGGTCAGTGTTCTCTCTCCCTCAGGGAAATGTTCAGTTGCTTTTAGATTTCAGTGAGGCAAGAGCATGAGAGAAGAAAAGGTCACAAAAAATGCAAAGCTTCATAAAATTCAGACAAGCTCAGGAATGTGAGGAAGCATATGGAAGAAGAAAGGTGATTTATGCAGTATTACCAGTGCCTTGAAATGCAAACTGAAATCAATTACTCTGAAATAGCTGTTGGTTTGTGAGCTGTGTTTCAATGATTTAGGTACTGATCTGATGCAGGTACCCCACCAGCATTTCTCAGCTGAGGACCAGATAGCAGGATAATCCAAAAGAGCGACAGGTGAAAATCATGTAAACAGAAGACCAGCTGAAGTCAGAGGGGCCAGAGGATGTTAGTAAGGTCAGAAAGGTGCGCCAGACAGAAATGGTTGAGAAACATGGACCTACAAGCTATGGGCTTTTCATACACATACAAAAAGGAATGAATCCTGTAGAACTAGTATAAGCATACTGCTGAATGTAAAAGGCATGCTGCAAATGGTACATTATTTGTTCTCAACTATATTTCAAAGTCCATATATTCACATGCATGTTTTCAAATGCATGAAAGTTTTCTGGAGCATATTTCAGCACATTCATAAAGATACACACATATAAGAAATTAATGTCCTTGTTTTGTCTGTTAATATTAGGCAATATTAAGTGGCATTTATAATATATGAAATAGGTAGCACTGTAGCACTGTCCTCCCTTGTTCATCCATTTGGTTGAGCGGGCCCAGTAACATTGTGAGACTTGTTACTGTGTTTGACATATGAATACGTCACGGGTAGCTTGCCAGGCTTTGCTGTGTGGGCGAGATACTCTCGGTAGGTTGCCAGGCTCTCTGAGCGGGGTGGAGGAATCGAATTCTGGTTCGAGGCTGCGTGCAAGGCAAACGCCCTACTTGCTGTGCTATCACTGGGCCAGAGAGAAAATACAGAAATTATGGTACTTGCCTTTCAGTTCTGGTTTGAATCCCCAGTATCACATATGGTCTCTCAAGTATTGCCAGGAGTCACTCTGAACACAGAGCCAGAAATAGGCCCTGAGAACTGCTGAAAGAGGCTTAAACCATATTTTTACACATATATAAATATTGACATCGAATATTTTATTAATTTGTGGGGTTTAGGGTCACAATTGTGGTGCTCAGGAGCCGATGGAGACCATGCAGTGCCAGTATGGAGATTGAACTCAAAATATGTTGCATGCAAAACATGCTACAGCCCGTTGAGCCATCTCCCAGACTTTGTGTGTGTGTGTGTGTGTGTGTGTGTGTGTGTGTGTTTGTAACATGGGCCACACCTTTTGGTGCTAGAATCAAGCAGTGTCAGGGAGCAAAATCAGGGCCTCACAAGTATTAGTCTTGTTCTCTACCTATTGAGCTATCTCCTCAGTCCACAGTAGAAGTGTTTTTTTGTTTGTTTTATAATCATCTTCAATTGTATGCAAATCAGGGGGAGTAATTATGTATTTCTGAAGAGAGGGAGGGTTTTTTACTCCCTATGAACTTGGGTTCTCTCTCTTCCAGGCTTTAGAAGGGTTGCCAGGGCAATTGTGAACTGTCACTAATGTGCTATTACAAGTAGATTATAATGAGGGAAAGTGGGTCTTCGGGTTGTCGCTAGAGGCCATCTTGGATTCAGCTGGCATTGATGGGTGCAGAAACTTTATGCTGAATCTGTTGCATCATCAGCTACAGTCTGAAGAACTGGTGGGAGACCCCATCATGCCAGCTAGTGGGGTCCCTGTTTCAGAACTACTTTATCATCAGTGGAACCACTAGGACTAGAGAGCACACACTCAGATGAGGCCAGGTCATCATGAACCATCTAGGACTGAGGGTACAGAGGAAGTCTGCGTGTTTTAGGGTTTCAGTGCTCAGCCAACCAGCTGAACTTCTCAAGGCTGACAGTCGTGGGAGAGGCAGGCAGTAAATGAGTCAGCCACTGCCTAAGTGTTCACCCTGGTCCTACCTTTGTCTGGGTTTGATTGTTGCTACACATGGATATTTAGTCTTCTGATTGAAAAGGACTCCACTCTTTGGAGAGGGATCCTTATTTCTATACCTTCAATGTGGAAATACAAATGCTTTTAAGGGATCTCAAAAACTGAAATCCCAGACAGCACACAGCAGCAAAGAAGAAAAACCGGAGAGGCTCCACAGCTCCAGGAGAATGCTCCAGGTCCCAAACAGAGCCGAGATCACCGGGAAGTCCCAGATGGGGTAGGTGCCGCATCCCGCCTTCTCCAGATGGAACCCCAGTGACCATGAGCCTCTACAAGCATAGCTCGGGCATGCGGAACCAAGACTTTTATTCCAAAGACATCTCCTTATATACAAAGTGATCAATGGAAAGTAAATCATCCAATGTTTCTCCCTGAAAATCAGGCTTAACTCTTTCACAAACCACAACACCCAATAGGAGAGAGAGAACAAAAGGGAATGCCCTGCCACAGAGGCAGAGTGGGATGGAGGGGATGGGGGGTGGGAGGGATACTGGGATCCATGGTGGTGGGAAATGGTCACTGGTGGAGGGATGGGTATTCAAAATAAATAAATAAATATTTAAAGAAATATAATGAAATGCTAAAAACAAAACAAAACAAAAACCTGAAATCCTAGGGGAAATGGAACCAGAAATGCATATCAGAGCAAGACCAAAAAAGATTACCAGTGCAGAGTTCCAAAAAGAAGATGCTTCTCCTTTATCTTTATCGCTCAGCTCCACTGAAAACTTAAAAATGGACTCAGCATGACTTGCTGTAGTTTCCCCCACCCCCATTTTTCTAATCATCTCTAACTATAGTAATTAAAGATTTATTTGTTCATTCGCTTTCTTAGCATTGTCTTGCTTCACTTTAGTTACTGCTTTCTATAATATATAGACGTGCTGCATTCTTCTCACTATTCACAAGTTTTGTACCTGATACAGTATAAACTGGCGATGCTCTGTTTATGTATAAGACAAAAATGTCAAAGTTCTCAGGTTCCACCTGAGCTCATTTCCAGGATTGCGTGGGGGGGGAGGGGGGGGGTTCCGAGGGTCGCTGCCATACTTGGCTCCTCCAGCAGGTGGTGCGATTCTAGCACTTTTCCGGGGAAGTTGAAGAAATACCGGGTGTTTGGGGCACCGCTCCTCCCCTCGCGCTCACAACACAGTCAGGCCACTGGGCGGCACCGCCTAAAGCTTCGCTAGGCGTGCCCAGGTTAGAATGCCTCTCAAGTGACTGTCTCTGGGAGGAGAACTTGCTCAGAGTGCTCATCGAGGCATTCTGCTGAATGCTGCCGTCATTGGGCACAATCTCCTTGCACTTTGGCTAACACATTTTTGCCCGCAGCCTCTAATAGAGAAAAGGCGAGGCGGAGAGTTTAGTTCAATATTGATACAACTCCAACAACATCCTTCAAGACTGGGTTTCACAAATTAAGCTACGCTGGTCTGGGATCCCCTAGCCCCACGCCACGCCGTCTGGGGGGTCGTAGACCTGCGGCTTGCAGAAATAGGACCAAGAGAGGGGTGGAGGGTTGGCACCCGACCCGCTTGGCCCCGCCCACACCTGTCCGCCCCATCCCGGCTCCGCCCCGCTTCGGATTGGCCCCTCCGAGGGTTGGTCCCGCCCCTCCCCGGATTGGCCCCTCCCCGTATGGGCTCCGCCAAGCCCCACGTTGGCCCCTCCCCGCCCCAGATTGGCCCCTCCCGATTGGCCCGCCCACTCCCCGCCCAATGTCCCAGCGGCGGCACCGCCCATCAGAGGGAGGAGCCGAGGACGTCACGGCCCCCGTGAGCTGCGCGCGCAGCCGTCTCGCCCGCTGGCGTTTGCTGCGTTCCCCTGCGCCGGCAGACGGGTTGCGGGACCAGTCCAGCCCGGGAGCCCGAGCTCCGCCGTCGTTTGCAGCATGAGCGCTCGCGGGCGCACGGTCGGCCTCCTGCTGCTGCTGTCTGTGGCGCAGGTGAGTGGCTCCGGATCAGCCGGGCCGGGCGGTGGGGTCGTGTCCGGGCGCTCCGGGCCTCCGGGGCGGGCACGGCCGCCCCTCCGCGGCCCCCTCCCCGCCTCTCGGCGTTCGCGCTCCGTCCTCCGCTCTTCTCTGGGGTCTGCGAGACGGCGACAGCTGCCGGCTGCCTGCGAGACCGGTCTGGGTCGCTTTGCAGAGGTGGTCACTCGGTTTCTGGGCTTAGGATGTGCGATCTGGGTTGAGGGCGAGGAAGAAATTGATAAAAAAAAAGGGGGGGGGAATCCCACCCTCTTTGATAGAGCTGCCTGGCTCGCCGGGCTCACTTTGTCAGTGTTTGGGAGATTCGATCTCTCGAGTGCCCCCGAAAGGTGAAAGTGGGCGGGGAGGTAAACAAGGAAACCTTTCGGGCTGGGTACTGGCTGCTGGGGGAGGCCGCGCGGTCAGTGACCCGCTCCCCTACACTGCGGTTCGCTGAGCCCTCGCCCCTACCCACACACCCGCCCGGGTCGGGTGCCAAGCCCGGGACGGGCAACCCCGAGGCAGGTGCAGAGGCTGCTGCGGAGGCCACACCTGCATGGAGGAGCCGGCCCAGGTGCCTCCAGCACGGCGGCAGTGCCAGCGGGGAGGGCGAGTCCCTGGACCAGGGAACCCTGCACCTGTGTCTGCTCACAGCGATGCCCAACGACCTCAGAAGAGCTGTGGCTTCCTCACCCGCTGTATGGGGAGCCCCAGCTTGAGCGCAGACGAGGGCGCCGGGCAGGAGGGAGGGCAGTCAGGAAAGAGGATTTCAGGGCGGTGCATGGGAGTGGGGACCCCCGGGCAGCCCGCTTGGCACCTTTGGGCATATTACCCTCTGCAGCTCTACAGAAACATGTTACCCTCTGCAGCTTCCTAGATTGATTGGGGTTATCACAGAACACGAAGTACGGAGTTCCTCCTCGCAGTAGTAAATTCTCAAGAATAAAAGTGCTTAATGGGCCTTGAAGTTTCTCTGCTGGTCCTTTTCAGCTTCAGCTGTGATCAGCTTCCTGCGGCTCAGTAGCTTTGATTGGTCTCTGTCATTGTACCCTGAAGTAATATGTTAGGGGTGGCCAGCAAATGCCTCTCCTTCTAGAACTTTGTGTGTAGGCCCAGGGGTTGGTCTTTGCCTCTTTGCAAAATCACTTGGAAACACTGAGACCCGTAAATCTCAACTGCAAAGACTTCTGCTGTCCTTTCAAAATTAATATTATAATATTATCAAATATAACATTAATCAATATAATCAAAATTATATTGGGAGAGAAGGTTCTGCTTTTGGAGTTATTGGGGGAGGGGGAGGGAAGGAGGCACACCCAGCCATCCTCAGGGCTTACTCCTGGCTCAGCCCTCAGGGATCACTCCTGGTAGTGCTGGGGAACCATATGTAGTGCCAGGAATGAATTGGGGTTGACTGCGTGCAAGGCAAATGCCTTAACTCCCACACTATCTCTCCAGCCCCTGCTTTGAGAGTGTCTAACCTGCTGGTCCAGTGGGTTCAGTCAGGGCATTCATAAAGTTCTGTCGCATAACTACAGTCTTTTGTAAAGTTTAAGAAACACTGGGGGAAGCGGGGGGGGTGGATCTTTTCCTTTCTTCATTTTTAATTTTTACAAGGGATGAAAGGGATGAAATAGCATCATGGTTTTCAAACCTTACAGTCATCCAAATCATGTGTGCTGTTTGAGAAATAGTGCACATGTGCACGCATACACACACACGTATACATATTTCCTGACTAATTTTTATAAGCCCTTTTTTGACTGGTGTGGACACAGGTCTGGGTAGAAATCAAACCATTAAAGTGGCATTTCCTGGGGAGATCAGGGAGGTTTACACAGATCTGCCAGAGAGCATTGAATGCCTGAAATTAGAGCCTTGGCTCCCTGGATGGGTGTCATCTCTCTGCCTTCCTCAGTCTTTGAAACTGTGATGAGAGGTTACCAACACAAGTCGTCTCATTTTATCCCAGTGAGTAGGCTGAAAGAAAACTCCTTGCTGAATGGGCTTTTGTCTTCTTTCAGTGTTTGTCATATTCCCCAGAACAAAGACTCCCTCTGGTCCCTTGGGCTGTGCCGGCTCTCTTTCCTGGGTCCCCCCCTCTCTCCTCTCCACACTTCATGAAATGGATGCTTCTGGGGCATTTGGATGATGACACATCATCTGACCTCAGAGGCAATTTTTGATAGGCCACCTTTGATCTCACACACCCTTTCCTGCCCTTTCACCCACTGCTGTGACGCCAAATTAAATTTTTCCTATCAACACCTCACCCATCTCCCAAGGCCCACCTCCAGTGCTCATCACCCATGGCATCCATGGTGCCGCTGCCCCAGCTAGCTTGTCTTTCCTCCAAAGAGGAAATCTTGGCTGCCTGCTCTTACCCTTGACAAAAGTAATCGCCAACAAACCAGTTCCCTGCAGCCTCAGTCTCTTCTGTCAAAATCAGTTACCAACTTTAAGATGCTTATGGAGAGAAAGAGAGAGAGAAATACTTGAATTACAGGGTTGCAGGGCTCCTGGAGGGTAAGAACTATATTTTGCTGTCTCCCGTATGACCAGCACTCTCACTCTCCTGAGTTCCCCGGGTCACTGGGTGTTAAAATGATTTTGGGCGCTATAGTGAGGGGGTGGCTGGAGCGATAGCACAGCGGTAGGGCGTTTGCCTTACAAGCGGCCAACATGGCCGACCTGAGTTCGATTCCTCCACCCCTCTCGGAGAGCCCAGCAAGCTACCGAGAGTGTTCGATATGCCAGACACAGTAACAACAAAGTCTCCAATGGAGACGTTACTGGGCCCGCTCGAGCAAATCGACGATCAACGGGAGGGGCAAAAAAAAAAAAAGTGAGGGGGTGGTGCTAGTGGAGGTTGACTGGGGGGAGTAGCTCAAAGGACAGGAGCACATGCAGTGCACGTGGGAGGCCCAGGCAGGGGCTCTGGGCACTGTCTGCCCCCACCCCCAGCACTGCTGGATATGCTGTGGCCCCCACCCCAAAGAAGAGATCAGAATTACATTCACCACGAGTTTCTGGGTGATAACAATGGCCAGCCTTGGCCAAGCAGGTTCTCCTGTGCTTGAACTATGCCTCTTCTATCTTTGGAATATTTGCTTTGGCAAGTGTGTAATAAAATTGCATGTGTGGGGAGGGGGTTGAGTTTGCCAGGCAGTTTGGCAATTTGGCAGTTTGGGTCAGCCAGGGAGAAGAAAGCCCTTCCCTGTTGGGCTGCAGTTGCATTCTGGTCCTCACGGATGAGACCGTTCTGAAGACTGCTGCCCACAGTAGCCATTAAGACCAGCCAAACAGCTGGGTGACCAAAATATTTTCGGAAGTTTCTTGTCTCTTATTTGCCTTTCTGAGAATCTAGAATGACTCCTACCTCAGGTTCAAAATACATTTTTCTTGTTCAGCCATGAGCTACTGACTCCACACCAAAGACAAATGCTCTGTTACTTTCAGCTATTCAGATTTTCCCTCTGTGCCTCTGTAGCCTTCATATGGTATATAAACCCATAAACTGGAGTTTGCAGCATGGGAAGCTGCTCCTCAGAACTTCCTTAGCTTCTTCCACAGTAAACTCTGAAAATGCCCCCCCCCCATTGATGTAGCAGTTATATTTTATTTTAGTTAATGAAGAAAATTTATGGGCTGGAGCGACAGCACAGTGGTAGGGCATTTGCCTTGCGCACAGGCAGCCCGGCCGACCCAGGTTCGATTCCTCCGCTCCTCTCAGAGAGCCCAGCAAGCTAACCGAGAATATCTTACCCGCACGGCAAAGCCTGGCAAGCTACCCGTGCCATGTTGGATATGCCAAACACAGTAACAATTGTCACAATGGAGATGTTACTGGGCCCGCTCTAGCAAATCGATGAACAACGGGAGGACAGTGTGTTTGTTTGAAGAAAATTTAAAACAAAACTATTCTCTGGTGCAAGTATACTGTGTACAGGGGGAGGGTGTTTCTAACTTTTTCCATAGCTCACGGAGGAACTCAGACTACTGTCATTCACTAATTTTATAACTACATGGTGATTGCTTTGGGCACATACAGGATATAGAGTAGATTAAAAGAACCGGGAGGCCCCAGTTTAATCTGCAGCACCACATCTGGGCCCCAACACTGCCAGTAGTGATCCCTCAGCATAGAGGCAGGAGCAAGCCCCAAGCACTTCTGGGTATGGCTCCAAAACAAAACCTGACATATAACGTTGGTAGTTACCAGTCCTATCTGTTCCTAGTTGGTGGGAGGGTGGATATATGAAAAAATGGCAGTCAGAGAAAAGTGCTGTAATTATGATAAGGATAAATATTATCAGGCAGTCTGGCTTTGAACGGAGCTTCGGGGAGTGGGTCAATTCTAGGTGAACCAGGGGAAAACTGGAGAAAATAGGAGAAGTTGCCTAACTCACTGAAAAGCATTCTACGCTGTCTTGAAATGGTGAATTTTGCGAAAAGGAATCTTAACAAAGCTGTTCAGTAATGGCATTCTAGATTACAAGTCTATGAAGTAAAGAGCTACCTGGTTTTTGCATAGTGCTCTATAGTACTCTGTATTTGTTTCACTTCTGACCTTGATTTAACCTTACGACACCCCTTTAATACAGGTGTAAGCTTGTTTTTCCTGTTTCAAGATACGAATATTAAGGCGCAGACTTGTCCCAAGGTCACATGGTTAGTAGTAGCAGCCGATTTCTCTGCCCTAATTTATTTAAATAAAAAAAAAATTCCTCAGATTTATATTTATAAAGCTAACTTGAAGGGGCTTGCAGTGGATGTTCCCCTTGACCAATAAGGCCTCTCACTTGGAGCCTTTACCTGGCTCTGATGCGGAGATTCTCCAGTTCTCCAGCACCAGTACCAGTACCATATTCAGGTGGTTGAGCCTGCTGGCCTGAAGCATAGTTCACTTGCCATGCTGTGTGTTCATTCCACAGGGAAAAGTCCTGTCCACGATCCATCTGCCCACCCGCTGCTATGGT